TTAGCCTTATTTTAAATTTTATTTTATTTTTTATTAATTTAAATTTTAAAACAGCATCTCATTAAACTGCCCAGGCTAGGGTCCCACTTGGGATCCTTTAGCATTCCAGAGTCTTGGATTATAGGCAAGTTCCACCCTTGCCTGGGTTGTTTGCTTGCTTATTCAATCATTCACTCATTTTTTTTTTCTTTTTTCTTTAATAGTGGCATAGTGGTACATTTATTAAAGGTAGGGAAAAACAATGAGTTGCAGAATGAGTTTGGGCCAAGTAAAAGTAAGGAAAATGGAGGAAAAAGTACACCCTACAGCAGAGGGTGGGCTGTTGTGAAGAGACAATAGCATTCATTTTGTGAAACTGGATACTGAACTTAGGACATTGAGTGAAATAAAAAGATGGGAGAGCTAGAAATTTGACTCAGTGCCACATTTACCCTTTTATTTTTTTGAGACACAGTTTTGCTAAACTGCCTAGGTTTGGCTCACATATGTGATTCCTGCTTCAAGCTCCCTAGTAGCTGGGATTTCAAGCATGCAGCCATCTTATAATTTTTGATAGTATTGCTTATATATTTGTCAATTCATCAGATTTCAGCAAAAAGAAAGTCTTAAAAGGTTTGAGGGCAAAAATAGACACAGTTGAAATTTTACAAACTTAGTCATAATGGTCTCTGGAGAAACAATTCTGTACACCCACTTCAGAAACACTGAAAGCATGTGGTATTGCAATGATTTAAAATGTTTAATAAATAATCCAAATATACAAGAAGTTACTGTAGTTAACACTCGCTGAAAGGACAAAGAAATGTATGATAAATTTTGAAGAGTGAAATTCAGTTACTTGGAGCTGTGAAAATGTCTTAGAAACTTGGATTAAATGGGATGTCAGTGTAATGTGTATGATGGTTAATAAAACTAATTTGGAGACCAAAATTGATACAAAGAAAAAAATTTAGGTGACACTAAATCTTGCTGGAAAGGGAGGAGAGGGAGGAATTTTTAGAATTGTTTAGCATTTATATAAAGTTACCCTTATTCTAAAATTATTTTGTGCTAGATTATAGGAGGAAATAAATGATTGTTTACAAGTTACTTTGAACAGAAGACAAATATTTACATTGGCGCCCCCCCTTCTGTATGAGGGACTGAATCCAGCAATTTTTTCACTGAGTTGGTGTTCTCTGCCCTTGTTTATTTTTTATTTTGAGATACTGTCTTAAGTTGCTCAGGCTAGGTTCAAACTTGAAATCCTCCTACCTCAGTCTCCCAGAGTGCTGGGATTAGAGTCCTATGCCACCCCCATCCCTGGCAAATTTTTAAATTTATTCAGCTTCCCAAGTATCTGGGATTATGGGATTATGGATATGCATCGTTTTCTCTGTTAAACGCTTACCTTTCTGCTGCCATATGATGGGAACTTTTTCATGAACACAGAAAAGTGACAACTGATGGAGGTTAGTTGTCAGAAGTCTGAGGAGATAGGCCTATGCTGAAATGTTCCATATAGCCATGTTCTAATGGGAAAATAAAGGGTTTCCCCAATCTGTCGCAAAGTATGAATAAAATACTTATGTATAGGTACTAGCTTATGTTAGGATGTAGCCCAGTCCTTGCCTAGCATGTGTGAAATCCCTGGGTTTGTACCTACCCCTAACACCACAAAAGCTGTAAGATGCAACATATATATATATATGTATGTATATATGTATGTGTATATATATATACATATATATT